GTTCTTCATATCTACCAAAACATTAGACATTTGTAAAATTTAAAATAAAAAAAATACCGAACTCCAAGAAAAATTCAAAACGGAAAGTCCCGTATTAAATGGCAAAATCAAAAGCTCAAACTCATCAAACGAATGGAAAACAATTGTCATAATCCTGACTTGGTACAGGCATTTACTTATGAAAATGGTGAATTAAACCTGGTTTTAAAGCTAGCTAAATATCTCACTTGTATGACAGTCGCATAGAATTCCTTTTTATTGACAACAAAGTGATAGCAAAACTAACAGACATAATACGTAAAAATGCCAAAATTTGGGGTACAGAGGTCAACAATTTGTTATAATGTTATAATCTTAAACACTATAAAATCAACAACTATGTCAACAATGTAAAAAAAGGCATATAGAAACGTGTAAAAGTATGCAAAATCTCACAGCTATAAAACACTAAGTTTGAACGTCATAACAGTTTCCATGTTGATACGTATTGTAAGAATGCATAAAATTCTATTATAATCTTAGTGACAGCAATCCTTATTCCTTATCAAATGGCAAAACCAAACAAGCTCAAAACACCAAAAACGAATGGATAACAACTGTCATAATCCTAAATGATACACTCATTTCCTTATGTAGAAAATGGTAGATCAAACCTGGTTTTATAGCTAGCTAAACCGCTCACTTGTATGACAGTGGCTTATAATTCCATTATACTGACAACAATGTGTGAGCAAAACAAATATACATAATATGTACAAATGTGAAAAAAATTGGGTTACAGTAGTCAACATTATGTTATAATTTTTATCACTATAAAAACAATCAACTATGTCAACAAAGAAAAACGAAATGGCATATAGACACTCTATAGACAAAACACATACGCAAACATTAAACACAAGTATATAAAAATGACCATAGTACAATAACACAACGACCGCTACAACTTGTGAACGAATAGACCAAATAACTACTTATGACACTATATCTCTCTGAATCCACATTACAATAAAAAGTTTATCTGAAAATCTGAACACTTCCGAAGTATGTTTATATTAGTTGACGTAAATATTTACAATGTTTATACAAGATAGGACTAAATGGTTAATTGGGTTAAGTGGGCAGTTAAACAATGAATAAATAATAACAAAATTATGAATTCATATTATGAAACCTGACCTGAATAATTATACGATTGCCTTAATAAATATGTTGTGTATCAACGCCTGCATAGTATATATGAAAGAGCAGTTATTCCCTTTTATCACAATTTCACAAATTGATCGATTTATTTTCATAATCAAATGATTGCCACAAAATTCTGAAACTTACTTTTAAAACAACTAACCCATTTTGAAATTAACTAATTCTATAATAAAAAAAATTGCTTATCATACCACCTGTCCTATCGTAGGATGTTTATATATCTCAAATGACACGTTACGCTGTTGTATGTTAACGTTATACGGACTGCATTAGCAAAAGTGTGCTAATTACACAAAAACTGTTCAATCAGGGTCATGAGAAAGATCGACTGAAACCGACACTACAGAGGATTTACGGTGACCATCACGAATTGGTTGACTGATATATCTGTGTCCCAACTCATAAGCGACATGTCGTCGCAGTCTTACATCGTCATGTATCAGAAAAGTTGTAAAATTTGTATGTAACAATGTAATTTTTACCGATAATGTCTTATTCCTGATTGTGGATTCGCATGGCGGGTGATGCAAGCATGGCAGGATACGCTTACACCGTCTACGCACCCGGTCTCACTCCTTTTGGAGTTCAAGAGATTCCCTCAGTTTTTTATTGTTATCTTGATTAGTCTCTTCTTAGTCGATTCATAAAATTTGAAAATCGTTAAATTCCTGTTGCCTTAATTTAATTCATACTTAAAATCTAAGTTAAAATAAATCAACAAGTCAAAACAAAAATGTTTTAAGAGAAAGTTTTCTACTGTCATTTCCAAAAAAATCTATTCAAAAGTTCTCGCAAAAAATAAATGCACATTTACGACGTAATGTTTATAGTTTAAGAAATAATTCTAAACCCCTAACTACATGTATCAGACCTGAAATTCCTGTAAATGTAGCTATTCATGCGTGAAACAATATTCACTAGAAATCAATCAGATTATGAAATTTAAACACGGGATGGATTGCACGTGCTCAGTTTGATTTAATTATCACATTATAAAGTGAAATTAATGTTATCCATGTTTTTGAGTATATTTACATAACTTGTAGGTAGAAATAGACCACGAATCCTTTATTTTTCACTAAATAAATAAACAAAATATGTACATAAACAGAGAAAGGAAGATCCCTTCCTTAATCACACTTTGTGGTTAACCTTCTAAGTATTAGTTTAACTATACGGATTTTCCATGGAATGTTAGAAGTTTCTTGGCAGGGAAAGACGTTGACTAAACTAGGAAGAGCTTTACATTTCGAAGTATTATAAATTAAAAAAAAGTTGTGATTTTTGTATTTATTACCGCTTTAGATGTCAGACTGGTCAATCACGTTACAATGATCAAAACAGGTTAGTTGATAAAAATAAATTCATGGTATACTTATTGACTCTGGAAACAGCAATGGCGCGATTTGCATTAAAAAAAAATATCCGTTGTTTTCTGCAAGTGTGCGGTAAAAATGAATATGTTTGAGAGGACATGAATATCAAGATGCTACTTTATTATTTCCTGTACTGCTACAACAAGTACAAGATTTTACAATTTATAAAATTAGGATTGTTTCCATATATAGAAAAACTGAAATGTTACTATTGATATGTTTTAATGAACATAAGGATTAAAATATTGTTTAGTGTTGTCACCTTGGGTAAAGCGTTATTATGAGAGAACGAACAAATCGACTGACGAAAAACACAGGAAACAGATAACAATTTGGACTTTAATCGATTTTTTTTTTGTGCAATATCTTGATTTTTGAGAGACATTTACTTTATTATGGAATCCATTAATGAATTATTATAAATGAAATTCATCAAAGATATCAGGCTTATAATTGTGTACGCCAGACGCGCGTTTCGACTACAAAAGATACACCAGTGACGTGAATACAAGAGGATACACAAACTGTAGTATATTTAATTTTGAACAATGTCAGAAGTGTTTGTCCGTACATGTTTTTCTTCTTGCTTATGTTTTGCATCGATCGAAAGGGGTCATATAAGCTTACGTCCGAATTTAGATTTTCCTTACAAAATGGTGTAATATAGTTTAGCTTATAGTTGTATATGTATATTTACACGATCCAAAATAGCTTTCATTCGTATAAAGGTTATTTCTAGATAGACAATCGCAATAACGTAAGCAAAATTGCTGAAGATTTGAGAACAGCAAATCAAATAATTGTTTTTTATCTATAATACTTCAAAAGGACGTTATGACAAACATGAAACAATAATTAAAATACCAAAATACTCTTGAGTATATATGAAATATTATATTACGATGATGGCCGGTAATTTTTTTTTGTCCAATAAGTCCGTTAATTTAATATTATCCCGTTGAATGAAATAAATGGCCTTACAGGTCGAACGAAATGAGCAGACTTGGGGGTATAGCATTAGATACAAGATAGTACGTACAAAATCGATATCAGCATTTCTTCACGATACTAGAGTTATCGCGCCTAATTTGTAATAGATTTCAACTAATTAAAACAAATAATTATTTTGTTTGAATAGTATTTTCGCTCCATGTATAAATTCTTTTCTTACATATGTTTTATCATGGCTGATTCTTGATAAATATAAGAAGCAAGACGCTTTAAAGATCGTGAACTCGTGAAATAAAGTTATCATAAAATTCTTAGTGGCATTATTAATCATATGCTCATTAAATATTCAGTCAATTAAACATGAGGTGTATTTAATGTCTTGCACACACGACATATTTGGTCAATGTATACATAATTCATTACATGCCTGCTTATTTTATTCAGCTACGCTTTGTCTGCTCTTGGAAAAAAAATACTACTTCGATTCTTTTTGATTTGTTCGTTTATCGCATTATCCTTACAAAACTATAGTTCAATAATGTCTCCTGCGTAAATAAGGAATATAGTCACTTATGTTTACCATTTTTTCTTATACAAATTATGTTATCATGTAAGATATTGCATGTCGACTCGGATAAGATTTACGTTTATTAAAGAATGTTTTAGTCTTCAAGTCAATGTATGGTTGTTACATGACATTAAGTACGTTTATTTTCCTATTTCCATTTCTCTCTTTTTAAAAAAAATATCCCAAAAGTTTTTAAAACAGTTATTATCATAGTTTTAAAAAAGCCAATCTTGTTATTTTTGTGTTCTCTAAAAAATCATTTTAGGCACGTACCTGTAGTTGATTTCCTACAAATGATATGTTTTGAACAGATAATATTTCTTTTCTTGTTTTGTGTTATACACAATGCAGATTAATTTTACCTTAAATTACATTTTACAACGAATTTTTGCTACAATAGAGTAATTGATATATAAAAAAATAATTAAACTGACTTCCAAACTGAATAGAAGTAACAAAAAAGATGAATAAAAACAAACTGTATCAATAAATAAAAATAAACAAGTGTCATTGTCTGTTGACTGGGTGTTTGGTTGATGAATGCTTTGCATATATCTTTATTGATAATATTAACAAATATATATATATATTGTTCCGAAATCTGATTTCGTATACATGCATATCTTACTATCAAATTTTACTTATATTAACTCTGAGTTAATTATAGAATACTAATTAAAGAATTCAAACATATAAAACATTGTACGAGTGACAGAACAACACACAAATTTACGAATGCGCGCGGCACATGAGTAAATTTTCAGTGTTGTTCGGTCACGAGTTATTCTTTGTATTACCTTGACCGTGAGCTTTTTAATGGAAGTAAAGTATAAAACACAAAGGTCTTTTTGTTAACATTTCCAATTCGTTATGGTTCATCATATTTATTTTTTTTTCAGGAATGTTTTCACAGTTACTGATATTGGTATTATTAGACAGCGTTTTAGCAAAATCACTATCATCGAACGGCAACGAGCACATAGGAGTAGGTAGGTACGTATGTATGTACACATTTTTAACAATTTTAATCAAAGATGAGACAACTTTTCAGGGTTTTTTCAATATAGCCGTTATGACTAATTTTGCAGAGACACTATTGTGGTGTGTACTTTTATTATACATTTGCTTGCTCTGGTACCCATTATGCATCCGAAACTCCCTTTTGAGCCCTTCTTTTAATTGAAACTTTTTTTCAGAATCTTAACCGTGCAATCCCATTGCCATTTTTATATGTATTTTTATATTTGGATGGTGTAATATTTCATGAGCTTTGCTTAACCTTTAGCTTATTTCTAACATTACCCTCCCGGTGCACATATTTTCACATGCCAAATTTCTTCCTTATTAAATATCATTTTCATTATATTTTAATTCCTTAAAAAGCAACTGAATCAATAATGAAAGCCAGGAGTTTACACTGGTTTTCAGTGAGGGTCAATTCTTATTGTTCTGCAGGTATAGTGTTACGTGTGGTTGTGTTTCGTTCGGTAATGGTTTCCTTCTTCGACTTGGCTGCCGTCTTGGTATCTTTTTATTTTCTTTAAATAAAAGCTATTGATGACAGTCACATAGACCAGAGGAGAAATGTTGAAGACTTAAAGTAGGACGAGAACACACATGTACTTGTAAAAATATCACCAAGTTCTGTAAACCTACGCTTCCTTGTTGTGCACTTTTAAGTAATTGAAACTATAGGGTTTCGGGGACGGAAATTGCATACCAGATGCAGAGACAAAATGCCTGTAATATTAGGTCTTTGGTTTAAAGAATACTTTAAAATCCCAATAATTACTACTTGTATCATTTTTCATGTTACAACTAAGTAATTGAAGTGTAAAAGATTTTATCAAAATAAATAGATAACCTTTAAGCAGTAAAATTAACACATTATAATCATTATCTTTTTACAGTATAAAGAAAAGATACGGATAAAAAAGCATTTCATTTGTACCATACTGTCTAAAATTACGGTCGTGACATTAAACTTTACGCAAATTTGTCAGCTATCTCAAGCCACTGACAATCTATTTCTTTAACTAATTTAACAAAAGGTGTCCTAGTACTGCTTATCTTAAAAGAATCACGTTTATTCAATTGCAACGCAGAAAACAGTTTTATATTTGAATCAATAGACTATTTAGTATTTGCCGATTCTGTTATTCGCCGATTCATAATCTAATGCATTCTGGGTAATGTTTTCAAAAGCGTACATCAAAACGTTGTGATTGGTTTAAAACGTACTAAACAAAGGAATCTTTAAAGTTTTGCAAATCTTTGAATTATATTGAATCGTTTGCTAAGCTAAAACTGTTGATATCAATAGTTATAGTTTAAAAAGCGCCTATATATCTCTTTCAACTTAATATGCTCAACATGCAGGGAAGCCATTTTTAAGTTTTTCAAGAACAAGTTTACAATTTGCAACGGGAACAAAATGATGTTAAAAGTGTGAAATAACCAAAATCGGAAATCGCTCTTCAACTTCGTACTTTATTTTAAAGTAAATTTTAAATTAAATTTCAAAGAGTAGTATCGTGTTACAAATCAGCATATTGAATTGTTGACTGACAATGTGAGCAACTTTTCGTTTCCATTGATACCTTTTTATACTTCCCTTGACACATACGATATGCAACTGGTTTCCTGTTTGTAATTACGTATGGCTGATATAATACTCAAACTAATTGAATACAATTTACATAAATATGTGCACTGTTTTAAGGATCGTTAATCATCTGTTGTATATTACTTCTGCATTGCGTTCCAATATTATATGCAATTTATGCATATAACTTTATGCATAACTTGCTTAAACTTTATACAACAATTGTTTTCATAAACTATGAATATGCTTAGATTCTGACTTAAAATTTTTTTTAAAAAGTAAGTTGACAAGAGGCTCGCAGATATTGACGATATGAACCACAAACTCAGTAGTATTTCCCCAATAAGATAACAAGTTATACCTTCTTATTAAATTAGGTGGGTATATTTATATTAGGATACATATGTCCGTCGGTGTGTCACACTTTGGCTTGCAGTTGTTTAAAATAGAACCGCTTCATGAAATGGATTGAAATTTTCTTTGAGTATTTTTGGAATTTATTAACTGGGTTGTGCTTCTTGTACAAAAACTGCTCTAGTAGAGTTATGAGGAGAAATGACTGAAATCTACACAACGTAGGTTTACGGTCACCATCACAAACGTCTCAACTAACAAGCGACATGTTTTTGCTGTCTTAGAACTTTTTATAAACTTAGAATAATTGTCTAATCTGTAATGTTGTCAATAGTATCATATTCCCTTTTGTGACATTTTAATGTTGTGTGGATTCGCATGGAAAGTATTGCATGTATAGCAAAAGCCCTGACCGTCGACACACCGGAGTTCATGCGATTTCCTCTGTTGTTGTTTGGTAGCTTGATTTGACTTGTCTTTTTAATCGATTTATGTTCTCTAAGTAAACAATACAAAATTTGGCGACTATGTTGAACGAATCTATCCCATCCAACTAGAGATAAAGGATACTACAGATACAGTTAAGTCTGCCTCATATCTTGACTTACATCTAGAAAATTGACAATGAGGGTCGGTTGAGAACAAAACTTTATGACAAAAGAGATGATTTCAGCTTCCCAATTGTGAACTTTCCATTTCTATGTAGCAACATTCCAGCAGCCCCTGCATACGGAGTATATATCTCCCAATTGATACGATATTCCCGGGCTTGTATTTCCTATAATGATTTCTTTGATAGAGGATTGCTGCTCACAAGGAAGCTATTAAACTAAGAGTTCCAAATGGTGAAGTTGAAATCATCCCTTCGTAAATTTTACGGACGACATCACGAGTTGGTTGACCGTTAGCGAATATCCATTTCACAGATGATATCGGATATGTTCCTTATGTCGTAACTACAATACCCTTCCCTTTTCACGAATGTGACCTACCGAATTAGACTATTTACCGGATTTGTAATAACATAAGCAACACGACGGGTGCCACATGTGGAGCAGATTCTGCTTACCCTTCCGGAGCACCTGGGATCACCCCCGTTTTTGGAAGGGTTCGTGTTGCTTAGTCTTTAGTTTTCTATGTTGTGTCATCTGTACTATTATTTGTCTGTTTGTCTTTTTATTTTTGGCCATGGCGTTGTCAGTTTGTTTTCGATCTATGAGTTTGACTGTCCCTCTGGTATCTTTCGTCCCTCTGTTATGAGATTTAAAAATCGAACTACTGTTTCAATATTTTTGACCGCTTAAGGTTAAGTTTTCGCTATTACTGTTCCAGAGGTAGGAACCTTGATCGTTGGTAAATTACAGATTTACAAGATCTTTGAGCTATTTGTCAACTATTTATAATTTTGTTTTATTATGATCATTTAATGAGAAATTTTATGCGAAAAAAAAAAGATTACAAATGCAGGTTTATCTTTGTTCTTTCTGTGTGGTATACCAGTAATTTTGATTTACTAGTACTCCGAAGAAAATGAAGAAAGGAATGCGACAAATATCCATGTTAACCTTCTAAATGCCATAAAATCAATTATTCCTTCTAAAAATTTCTAGACGAAGAAATTAAAAATTTCTTTGTGGTGATTAATCAGTCAAGGAAAGAATCTTTAGAGCTACTAACAGCTATGGTCGGACTTTGATTCAATAAAACGTTTGATGGCCTTTCTTGGTCCTGATCATCGACATTAGTCTATTGCGCCGTACTTATAAACCTAGACCTTTAACCAAAAAAAAAAAAAAAAACAACGCATCGTTTACTGTATAGTAGACTTGCTTCAATTTCCTTCTTTTATTTCTTTCTTACTAATTTATATGTTTACTGACAACTGCCGTGATACTGAATGGACCAGTAAACAGATTGCCCTTGGAAAATTCTGTAAAGGTGTCAATAAAATGGCAATTTCTTATTTGTAGCAGTTGTTAAAGGGGTAAAATTGAAAAAATAATAATAAAATTAGGAAGGGACATGTAGCAGGTCGTACTGTATAGCAGTTGAATATACATTTGTAAATGTTATTTAGGAAAATCATGAGGTCATATTTTTAACAGAAAACACTTATCATTTTTCTCCATATATGACGAATAAAAGGAATATAAACTGGTTCAAGAAACCAAAAGGATATCAATACCAAGATTTAAAAGCTTGCCATCAACACCGTCGCCAAAAGAAATAAACTAAAACTAACAAAAAGCCCGAAAAAACAATACACTAAAAAAAGGTTGAGCAACACAAACACTTTTTAAAATTAGGGATAAGGTCACCCGTTTCGAAATGTATTTATGCCTGCTCTTCTATTGGCACACCGTTATGTGGATGATGACGAAAAGTCATAAACACGAAAGGGAGGACGGGATTATTATTAGGACAAATGACACATATCTGTTGTCATCTGTGACATAATTATTCCAAAATGGTCAGCCAACTTATCGAATGCTTAAAACATTTAACGTGTTGACATCGACTAAACCATTACGAATTGTTCGTTCATTATTGCCCTGAACTTGCACCAAATATACCTTACCACTGGACATTAAGCAACCAACAATCAGTCAATCTTGGTTCATTAGTTTCCTCATTGGTAGAAACCGTTTCCACAGAAATGCTAATAATGGACACAGGCTATGTAATATGGAATCAAAATAGAAGATGTGTACTCCACTTACAGCTGCAGCTAGAATAATCCTACATAGAAGGGAATATTTAGAATCAAAAGATTAATTCTGATGAGTATTTATTTACCTCAAATTAGATACAATCAACTACGTCATCAAAGGTTTAAATATTCAGTCAAAGTACATAGTCTCACATTTGATAGCAGAGGATACATCTTCTTGACTTCAACTTTGTACTTGTTTTGGCTTTCGAACTATTTTGATCTGAACGTCACTGATGGGTCTTATGTAGACGAAACGCGCGTCTAGCGTATTAAATTATAAGCCTGGTACCTTTTGATAGCTATTATATGTGTTTGTCTCTGTCCTGTATGTTCTCCCATTTATTTGTAATGTAGTCCTGTCATGTAATCTTGTCATTTTAATGTTATATTAAACATTGCCATAAAAGCGGGAGGTTTGGCTAGCCACAAAACCAGGTTCAACCCACCATTTTTTCTTAAAATATCCTGTACCAAGTCAGGATATGGCCATTGTTATATTATAGTTCGTTTCTGTGTGTGTTGCATTTTAGTGTTGTGTTTCTGTTGTGTCTTTGTTCTCCTCTTATATTTGATGTGTTTCCCTCAGTTTTAGTTTGTAACCCGGATTGTTTTTTTCTCAATCGATTTATGAATTTCGAATAGCGGTTTACTACTGTTGCCTTTATCTATGGAAGGGAAAGATTTTATATTTGGTGTGGAGCTTGATAATATTGAGTTGTAGCGTGTACATTTTTACATCAGCCGTGCAGTCACTTCCTGTTTGCCGATAGTTTGAAATTTTACAACACTCATTGAAAAAGGAAATTTGTCGTGAAACGTTTCATGACTTCTATGGAAGGGGAGGATTTAATATTTATTCTACACCTTGAAAATGTTGAGTTGTAGAGTGTAAGCAGTTTTTACATCTGTCATTCAGCCACCTTCTGTTAGCATCAGTTTGAAATTGTAAAAATACAATTGATGAAGGTAAAATTTCTTCAAATGTTTCTTGGCTTTTATAGATGAAATGAGTTTATATTTTGCCACAGCTTGATAATGTTGAGTTGTAGCGTGTAAGTAATTTTTACATCCTTTGAGCATCAACTTTTTGTTTGTCTATATTTTGAAATTTTACAACACTCTTTGTACAAGGAAACATTTCCTCAATATTTTTTATTTTGGCTTCTAGAGAAGGGAATGATTTAATATTTGATGTGGAGCTTGATAATGTTAAGTGGTAGCCTGTAATCAATTTTCCACCAGCTGTGCAACCAATTCCTGTTTGCTGTGAAACAGTCTGAAGTTTTAAAATACTCATTGTACAAGGAACAGTAGCCACTTTCTCTTTGTCTATTAAAGTTCGAAGTTTTACAACACTCTTCGTATAAGCAAAATGTTCCTCAAACATTGTTTCGCTTCTATGGGAGGCAATGATTTTATATTTGGTCTGGGGCTTGATGATGTTAAGTTGTAGCTTGTAAGCAAACACCCCCCCCCCCCCCCCCCCCCCCCACCACCACCAAATTGTGCAACCAATTCCTGTTTATTGAAATAGTCTGAAATTTTACAACACTCATTGTGCAAGGAACAGCAGCCACTTTCTACTTGCTTATAATTTGAAATTTTACAACACTGTTTTTACAAGGAAAATTTTCGCCAAATTTCTTTGGGCTTCTATTGATGAAAGGGAATGATTTGATATTTGGTCTGAGGCTTCACAATGTTGAGTTGTAGCTTGTAAGTAATTGTTCATCCTGCTATACAACCAATTCCTGTTTCTTGAAATAGTCTGAACTGTTTTCGAAACTCATTGTACAAGGAACACTTTCGTCAAATTTTTCTTAGCTTCTGTAGAAGGCACTGATCAGTATGGATCAGTTTTCATGTTACCTCAATCAGTTGCATGCAACAACGCAGGTCCAGACCCGGTTATGTTGACTATATTCTATTTAAAGAAGCAAAGTTATGTGTATCAGTCTTCAGAATAGGAAAAGAAATCTAAATTTCAAAAACTGTCTGTACATTTGAATTGATAAATTAACGCTAACATGTCAAAACACGTAGGGCTGTTGAAAGATTATCATTAGAATTATTAAGCAAGGCACACAGAGAAAAGAAAAGACAAACAATTATTTCCTTTTGATGAACAGTTACCATACTTGCATTGTTTTTTTATTTTCTGTACCCAAGTTTAACACATAATTTATTGACTACGAAATTTCATGTTAAAACTTTCCGAGATACAAAAATATTATCCGAGTTAATTATGTCATTTTAAATCATCTGTAGTAAACATTTTGCCAATATTTGCCAAATTTTGCCTGATGATGTTTTTACTCAAAGGAACACTATTGTTGGACTTTTTTTGTGATCTCTTAACTTTTTTTACTGGATGTAAAACAATTGGCCTTCCGGTTCTTTTCTGTGTTTTTTTTCAATGTTAGATGACTGTCACGCAAATTCTAACACTTGATCTTAGGAAAAGGTGTTTATGCTATGATCATGGAATTCTTTCATTTAACAAGATAATAAATTCCAAGAAAATTGCGTGAAAAATTTAATAAAGAATAAGTTGAATTATAAGGTGTTTATATAATTGGATAATTCTGAAATGAAATATCAAGATTTTGGATGAATATAGTACTTTCCAGAATGGAATGGAAAGGTTATCTATTGATATGTATTAAATAGTCCGGATTCTTTGTTCATATTTTAGCGTTGGTGGATTTAAGAAAAAATCCATGATTTTAGCATTTTACACATGAGCTAGTAGTATAAGTCGATCGGTTCATTTATGACGAGGTTACTAAACTTTCAAATTAAGGCGAATAATTCTGTAGCTTGTAATTATTTAAATGCAGCTCAGCTTTAAGCATTAATCAACGTAATCAATCAATTAGAATCAAGGAAAGCATATTAGTGAAGTGGGTTGGAATTATTGTGAATGTAACTTCAGTGTACAATATCGGGACACTAAATGGCCGTTCTTATATTCAATAAGAAATGAAAATTGACAGCGAAGCTCAAACACGATTGTTGGAGATTTACTTTTTTCACTGTAGAAAACTATTAGTATTAACCTTGTTTACACCTGTCTGCTTATCATCATGAAAACAATTGACTCCAATACACTAACAGAACACAATTAACAAGGAAATAATTTCAGCTTTGAGATACGCCCTACAGTTTTTTGTTGGTTTAAAATAATGTTGAAGCGAATTTTTTTTTTTTTTTATTTTTTGGGGGGAGATAAAAATCTTCATATTTTTCCTTTATTATTTTCTCCAACTTAAACTGTAACATAATGTAGAAAATGAACTTAGTCACGTTCTTTAACACAAAGATAATATATTGTTCAAAATAAAAGCAACCTGTTAGTAAATAATATTTTGTTCAAAATAAAAGCTAAATGAGGGCATCTTATAAAGAATTTAACAACAATTTGTTTCATTGTGTAGGAAAACTACAATCAACAGCAGCAAAACTAGTTATTATAGTAGCAATGCTTATGAGAAAATATAGAAATATATTTGATTTTATTTATAATTCAAACTTTTTGTATTATAACGAAGGACTACGTAGTATATTGCTTACGATCGTAACTTTGCCTTTGTTTGTTTTTTTTTCCAGATCTAAACGACATTTAAGTGAATTTAAAGTTGCAGAATACATGACACTATTAGGAAACAGCTGTGCATCAGTAAATTGTGGTCTCTACAACATAATGCAAAGGTATAAATTACAGATTAGAACAGAACAATGTGACATGTTTTTGTAGAAAACAATCAATTTCTTCTTGCGATGCAATTTCATATAGAGTTTAGATGTAATCAGTTATCAAACGTTTCTTGAGTTTATTATTTATACTTTGACAAGATTACATTAAATGGTGACATTTTCGAATTCTCTACCAACGAGAAAAAATATAATAAACAATTCTAGAAATGGTTTTGATGTGTTACAATACTAAACCTAAAAAAAAGCTTATAACATCTGACAAGAATTGTAGGATAAAATTCCTTTCTCGGATTCTATTACTTGAAACTATAACATCAGTAAAGGTGGATCATAGACACAACAATTGCAATCTGACTTTTACTATATACATGTATGTTAGCTCTATGATATTAGTTTTGCCCAATTGTCAAAGATATATTTCTAATTAAATCCATTATATATATATATATAAGACAAAATAGCTCTTGCCACTATACATCATGTACGGTTGAACAGCCCTAGATAAATCCGACGAGGAAAGGCATAACTCGACTAACGAAAGCTATGCTGTATAGCCGAGTTGGTCGAGTGGTCTAGGGCGCTGGACACATTGCAAGTGGTGTTGCTACGATGTCAAAAAAGTACGAGTTCGAATCCCGCTGAAGGAAGACCTAAAATTTTCTAACGCAAATTTGCTAATCTAACATTGTTGGGCTAAATTTGAGACGAAGTATATATAAATTATGGTGTTAGCCCTGTATAACCACATGTTATCCGATGGAGAACGTCTGTGGTAAAGTTGTCACATATTTAGGCGTATATATATATATATATATATACCTGTGTATGTTGACAAAAAGTGAGAAGATATCAAGGGGGAAAGCAATCAAAAAGCATAACTTCTATATAAAACTACAACATTGTCAAAAATAAAAAGGACGAAAAGACAACACCAATTAAAAACATCACACAGAAAACTACAGATTGGGTAACATGAACCCCACCAAAAAAAGGGGATATAATTGAACTCAAGTGCTCTGGAAGGGGAAATCAATTCCTGCTCGAAACAATTCGGGATTTAACAACGACAAACACGAATGACGTAGTTTTTACTGCATTTTGCCGTAGTATTGTCGGTTTCTCTGTGACTGTATTTTGATTGCCCCTTTGGTGTCTTCCACCTCTTTTTTTATTATTCAAAGGTTATTAAATATTATAAATTATCTGGTATTTTTTAGCGGGCGACGAAAAAGAAGGGCGCCTGTGGATTTTGGAACATATCTGGCATGTTGTGGATAGGGATTAATTTCCTTTTAAGATGCAACATTATAGATTATGGTAAGTCAGATTAAAATTTAAGGTACACTTCTATTTTAGCTACATGTGAATTACTGTGTGTAACAGATCGTGTTGGAATATCACAAAAAAATGTTAGGAATTTTTACACGTTCAAAAATGTAGTTAATATAGTTCAAAAATTCCATTGAAATTATTAGTCACCCTGCTTCTATTAATTTTGAAACGATTGTTCATGAGAAAATATATGGGCCAATCATTCATTTGCGATTAGAGAAGTAAAAGTAAATATCTCCATAATACCTTAAGATGACAATGTTGGACTGTTTATGTCGTCGTTGTCAGTCTTACTCGAACGTACAGCCACCGATATTAGAGTATATTAATGCGTGTTTGTTTACATCTGTCACCTGGAATTATTAACTAGCTATATCTCGTTGGTTTTCGTTATTCTTTAGGTACGATATAATTTGCTGATCATGGCAGATCTCTTAAGCTTCAATGTATTCACAACTTTTCTAAACTTGAGATGATTAAGAGCTTGATACACGAATAACGCTCTAGTATGAAGAGCTTATATTGACCTTTTAATTTGTTGTGTTTTGGGTCTGCTATCTCATTGACGTATATCTATTTTCATCTAATTAATGAGACCATAGCAGTATATATTTAGACTTTGATATAAATGATATAGACATATGTCAACCATCTAAGTTGTCTCGTAGTAGAATGTTATCAATAAGTGTGCATTTTTTATTTTGTCAAAATAACACTGGTAAATGGTCTCTGCTGTTAACTGCTCCATCATATATCCCGGATTGCACAAATTCTAGATATCTTTTTTTATCGAATTTATAATAAATGTTGCCAATATCTTATCAATGATATTTGAAGATTACGCGCTACTTTTTATACATACATTTATCCTCCTTGCCATTAGCATTGCCATTTGCCAGTTTAACAGCAGAATAATATCAACTGAGATGAAAGAGAAAGCTCAAAATTATCAAGAAGGCACATTTATATTTAACTAATAAACCACTGCTTTCCTCCTTTGTACTGACATTCACTATTTTGCTTTTTCTTACAGTTGCTGCAACCCAACAAAGACAGTTGTTAAAGCGATGTGTAAATATTTTGTACAGATAGTTTCCTCTACGTTGGATCTGGACATCGTCAAAAGAATCTCCACCTTATTTTCATGACATTTCATCATCAGGGAATAAAAATTAAATGAATTAGGAACTAAAGGCTGCGTTGGAATAAATCGAATTTTTTATCGCTTATTTAATATTTTTAACATGTACTTTTACAAATACACACATTCCAATGGTTAAAAGATGAAACTTAGATTGAAATAATAATAGAGTCTGGACTACATACTTTCAATGTCTTCTGGTCATAAATATAAAGCATTTTAATTACCCGTTATTGTAGTGATATTATGCACATTCCTAATATACATAAAATTAAAAGCATTCCAAGAAATATTTCTTTAAAAAAAAACAGCAAATCATCTAAAACTGGGTTCAGGGTCACCATAATTTGGCTAAATATCTTCATTAGAAATACGATACCGTTTCTTTTCTCGAGTACATTTTATCCTTTCTTTTAACTTTCAGAGAATAACGCTGTCAAATATTGATGGCCAGATCATGTATTACTGAAACTAAAACCATGCATATCATAGAGTTTGCTTGTTACTTAAGTAAAAACGTTTGACTTTTAGCCGTGCAATTTTATTTACTAACGCTTATTGTATCTATTCGTTCATTATCATACATTTTAGTAGTGTGCTATGTTATATCACTCCATCATTACCGAATTTTTACATATCGCGTCTAGCCTTTTCAAGTAACAAAAAATTTCACACAACATCTATAAATCAAGAGTAGGTCACGCAATAAAAGCTTACCATCACTAAATAAAGCTTACTTTAGCCAAGTCAAAGTTCATCTGAATGGACACTATTAACTTTGGATTCTGCATATAATCTTGAAATGACAAGTCCCTGTGTTTGATTTCATGAAAAATAAATCCTTTGCCGTCTTCTTGATTTTTATTTTTGAATTATTTAGTTAGCATATTTTAGATACATTTGTAACACTATAACAAAATGCATTCATTTAACACCAAATTTAGAGAAATAAATCTATAAATTTCAAGTCAAAGGAAATATGGTTAAAGATATCATGTTTTTTTCTAAACGTCTTATCGCAATTTGGCAACTTTACTGGACATCAAAGGCGTTCCAGAAAAAATTTGACTTTGAAATTACCAAAAAAGTGATTACTGTATGACGCCATTTGTTTCGCAAAATCTCGGATCAACTATCGTCAATAGTGATGAGATCTTTTGAAATTTTAAGGTTCAAGGTAGTATTAGAACTCGTATTATAATTTCTTATATAAAATGTCTTTACCACTGCACTGTATATGATACAGCATGGTGATATTATTGAAATAAAGCTGTGTCTGTAGATTTTTCCAAAATATTAATATCAGTTTCATAACAGAGCCCTCATATAATTTTACTAATCAATATATGGAGAGATAAAAGAGACGGAAAATACCAAACGGACGATCAAAATTCATAAGTCGAAGGGAAACCGAAAAAAATATGACAAAATGCGACAAAAATATAAACAACAGTCTATAAAATAGTATACAGAAAACTATTGACTGAGCAGCACGAACCCCACCAAAAAGAAATCAAAAACTATCGAATGAATCTCGGGTGCTTCAAACTGGTAAGCAGATCCTGCTCCAAACGTTGCACCCGTCGAGTTGCTCATTGTTAGTTCACATTCGGTGAAAAGTCTAACATGGAGCATGCTTTTCGATTTTAGCACCAGCCAATTCGATGACCGAATTTGTACTTTTAAAGCAAAGAGGCATTGAAATTTAGCTGTCTGTAGATTTACATACAGCTGTCAATATTGAAATTAAATATTTAAACAAACGAGAAAACCTATCGTTTTTCTTTGATCACCTATACCACTGGGTCGATACCACCGATCGTGGATTGTAAATCCTAAAGGATATCATTAACACAGAAGTCGGTGTAACGATATTGATACGTACTCTTTTTATAAATCATAACCTAATAAACTTTGTCAATTTTACCAAAAAATTAAAGAGTTTCAACTTTTTTAAGACAAAGTTTACCAAAGATGATGTTATAAAGACGCTGTTTTGTGCTTTTGTTGTCAAATACGAAGGTGTTTTTGTATCTCCAAATAGTCATAATACATTATTTATCCCTTCGTTTCCATTGGCTATTCTTTTTATGTTTCATTTTGTTTGTCAGTTCTCCATGCATTATCCCTTTTCAATTGTCTTGACTTTGGGTTTTTGTACATTTCGGACAAAGGTTTATCTAGAAATGATCGTTACACGCAACAATAAAAAAATGTTTACTTTAATGTACCGTTACTTGTTTTTAGTGTCATCAGAAAAGTATGATTGAAAAGTGCCATTCTAATAATCGTTCTTGCCTCATTATTTCCATATAGTTAATTCTATAATTTGACATTGATCTATTACTATGTACCATAGTTCATTCGACTTTCTGTTGTAAAAAGTGTGAGGTATCTACACATAACCCTGGACCGTGACATCTATCACAGTTAGACTTCTGAAGGTCATTGAAATTCAATGTTACATATACGTCTTTCTTATTTACAGATAATACACAATATATTTCCAGAAAAATGTTATGCAATCAACAAGAAGATTACCAATTACGTATAAAATAATAATTGTATGATATTTTGACACAGTGCTAACGAAGGAACATTTTACAAAATCACGATAATTTGAAATTTAAATTTCGAGACATTCTTTCAAACAATAAATTATTCAGCATCTGTTTTTAAAGTGTCAGTGTGCAGGTCTAACCCCAAACCTCCATCCTCTCTCAAAATTGTGCTTTTTTCAATTTGTTTATCAATTTACTTCGGTTATTGCATCAATTTGATTAAGAAATATTATAGCTGCTCGATGGGGTCAAGGAACAAGTTTTATACTTATTTCCCAATCGATTCGTTTAATAAAATATCAAAGTAAGCTGGCTATGAATGAAACATTGCTATGCAGTGCATTAACCGGCAAGTTTTTCTATTTGAACATTGCGATGTAGAATTTTGCATTTGGATCACATCTTTTGTATAAAACAATACAAGAAGAGGCTTAATCGGCCGATTTGTCTAGAAAGTTGGTCTTGGTTAAACCTACTACAGTTGGATGTTCAAGTTTGAATTGCTTCGGTCAATTCCAAAAATTTAAAAAAAAACTTGACCAACGAATATGTGATTATATATGATTATAATTATTCGTTATTCCGGTTTACGCTACATCAATCATTGGACATTTTAAAACCGGTTGCATGAAAGTACCTAAAATACGTTTTAACCAGAAACAAAACAAGATATGAAAATAAGGAGATCTGGTTTGATTGCCAATAGGACAACTATCCACAAGAGTCCAGATTACTTGGATTTAAGCAACTATATGTCACCATACGGCCTTTAATAATGAGCAAAAGTACACCTGGAAGTAGAAAACCATCGTTATCAGAATGATCATTATGCAAATGAAGTTAAGCACAAATAAATGAAAGATCAAATCAATTTTTTCAGAAATTTGAAAAATGATAACATATGAAACATCGATATTAAAGATATTTTGATATGAGAAAATATTCACCAAATGTTAACAAACATTAAGAAAGTTCTAAGTAAAGGACCTTTAAATCAATTTGCAAAACATTAACCTAAATAATGTTAAAATAGAAGAATTAAAAAACGCGCATGATTACGAGTAGATGGTCAGCCACAACTAGTAGGATATAAAAATGTAAAATATTCAGAAACTCGTATCGTTAGGGGGTACTGAAAAACTGAATTTCCAATGAAATATAATAGATGAGCATTTGAAGAAAAATTCGTGTGTTTTGATTTTAATCACTCACTGGAATTAAAAAGGAGATGTTTTAATAAATAAATAAGACAGCAATATAACGACACAAAAAAGGTTAGTATATTATAGTCTTCAACAATAGACATATGTTCATATAATATATCGTTGACTAAGTCTTTCGGAGTCTAAATATAAAAAAAAAACAGTTGTTAATATGACCATACTCGTAAATATGTATTATAGTTTCTTCACACTGTATCAATGTTGTTTTTCGTTTCGTTTGTTTGCTTTTAAAACATCATAAGGAAGTGAATCTCTATTATTCAACCTTTATTGTATTTCATGTTGAGCTCAATACGTTACATGTACTTTTTTCAACATTCACCCCGTGTCCCCATTTTTACAGGCAGCGTAACAAGGGTAACAGCGTTGTGAATAATACCACAGTCTCAGTCAATATTCCCTCGGAGTTGTTGAAGGGGGCTAGATTAAAGTTTAAAATGTTGTTCTGCCGCCTATGCAATCAATAGGACTTTTTACGGTTTAAAATATATTTTCACATAATCATATGGATACTTGAATAGGAATGTGAACCTCCTTTAGTTAAACAAATTGGAATAATCCAATATAATCCTTATTATCTAACAGAGGAGTGGTCACTTTGATCTGCATTTGTTAATAACAGTTAATCTTCAAAGATTTATGAAACCTTATGTCTTTATTATTAGTCAAATAACCTCAAAAGATTTTAAACATTTTCAAACATCCTTGAAATCAACATGTTTTGATCCCAAAAATTCAGTGGTTCTGGGAGAATGTTGTAATAAATATAGAAAATATTAAGAAACTTGGGTTCAAACTCCATCAGGCAAAGATGACGTAAGATGAATTTGGTTATTGTTAACTTTTATGTCCCTTTTGGTCATATAACTCTGTACAGTCCCTGTAACGTAAAAGTTAACACTTTTTTCATTCGGGAATCGTACGTACAGCGTTCGGGAATCGTTCGTATAGAGTTCGGTCATCGTACGTACATCATTCGTATAGCGTCCGTACAACGTTCGGTCAGCGTTCGTTCATCGTTCGTTCATCGTATGGTAAATGTCACCGTTTAGGGTTTTATATATCGTATGGTTCATGGTATCGTTAAGCGTTTTATTTGTCGTATGGTACATGGTATAGTTTAGCGTTTAGCGTTTAGCGTTTCGTTTATCGTATGGTATGTGATATCGTTTAGCGTTTCATCAATCGTATGGTATATCGTTTTGTTAAGCGTCTGATATATGTTAGGGTTTTATTTCAGAAAGTTATTTCAATTATTATTCTGAGTTAAAATAATTTAATATAAAAAGATGCGGGATAAAAAAAAAACAATTATTAGTTTGGATTAGATTAAATCTTCTACTAATATCATTATTTGACACTCAAATAAAATATATATTTATTTATTTATTTATTATGGAATATATATAAAACGAAGGGGAAACATTTCCTCCCATATCATTTTGACATGAATAACATGAGACCAAATACCGCGATATAAGTCTCTTTCTTTCTCTCTCTCTCTCCTCCACCAAATATTTCTCTGATCCAAATATTTCCTTGACACAATAAATTATATATAATGTTCTATAAATGAGGCTTTATATGAGATACATGTTTTATATCTAAATGTATTAAAAAAAAAAAGACAAGACATCCATGGTATTTGTTGCCCTCAATGTCAGAGTCTGATATAAACCGAAAATTGCCAGGGATATATAAAAATTCGTTGACGACATCTATGGAACCAGTGTCGCTTGTGATTCCTGTTGTCGGTGTTAAAACTATTATTTTGACATTAAAAAGTGCTTAAGTCCATGTATGAGTAAAATACCGAATTAAAAAATAACTCTGCCTTTTTTATATTTCTTTATTTTAGAGGTAAGCTTCTGGCCAAGTTTCACCAATTTTAACGCAAATCATTTACCTTAAATAACCAATCAATTGTATTCTAAAAGTTGTTGATTTGTTCTTTGTACGAATACATGAAATATTTGTCACTGGACGTTTTGCATGCAATCGACGATCAAATACAAATCTACAGTATTTATAAACATACTGCCATTGTATATATGAAATAGACTAAATAATTTAAATTTTAATTATTTTACACATATTTGAAGGATCGAAATAATCAGTTCTACAAATGGTTGTTATTGAAAGACTTGAAATTTTACAAATATCACATGCCTCTATGGAATTTCTTATCGACGCACCAAACATTTTCCTTTCATCGTGCATAGTTCATTTTCCGATTCACTTAAGGTTTCTAACGATCTTCTTACTTGTTCATTACATTCTAAAATTAAAATCCTACACAAGTTGCCAAAACTTTTATTCTCAGGCTAGACTGCGTAAAAGATGAATATTGTTTTGTTTGTGTACACACGGTGTTTTGAAGGCCGATATCCAGTTTCGCTGAAAAAGAATTAATTTGCGCCACAACTTAATTACGCCAATTCTTTTTTTGCATCATTTTATTTTAAAAAAAGGCAGCATTCATTTCCGCCAATAAAAC